AAGTCGCTGGATATCCTGGGTGCACAGGAGGTATTAGATGCAATTTTATCGAGTAGATATTTGTTTTCAAGCTCAATCATACTTCGTTATATTTCTTTCAGTGAAACCATTGATAAATCTGATAGAAACAACGCGGCGGGTGGGTTCAATAAAATTTGCAAAATTAATCGAGAGTTCGACGTTTGCGGAAGAATTGAAGAGTGGTCCACCCTTAACGTTATTCGTACCATCCGATGAAGCTTTTGATGTACATATGTTTAATCTAAATATATAACGTGTCATTTAATACACTTAATCATTTAATAAAATTTTGCTCGCTTTACTTTTCAGAACTATTTAAAAGTAAAAGGTATTCGTCAAGAATGGCTGTATAATGGTAACAGATATGTAAATTTAATTGCGAATCATATAATAGACAGGCGCGTACTATCAAGTCAATGGCAGGCGAATCTTTTAATTCCATCACGTTTGCAAGGGAACGTTTTGAGAATCAATAAATTTTCTAGCGGAGTAAGTACGCTACCGCTATACGTTGAAGCTTAGGTATGCAAACCAATTGTCCAATAAATGCTATCTTCTTCGTAGATGGAAACGGTGAATTGTCATCGAATTATTCGCAAGGATCAAATTGCCACTAATGGAGTTGTGCATGTAATCGACGGTGTTCTAGATCTGGCTTTAGCACAAAATTCAGACATAATCGAGCTTGCTTCTAGAGATGGTAGATTCGGAATATTTACAAAAGTCTTAGAAAACAGCGAATTAGGGAATAGAATTAGATTGAGTGAAATACCGTGTACTATATTTGCACCAACGGATCAAGCCTTCCATTATATTCCTAAAGCGCAATTGACCGATATGTTGGAGAATCCAGTTACATTAAATGGTAATGGAATTATTTCGAATGCATTTATACATGTTTTTTTTTTTTTCTTCTGTATTACATATTATTTTGTTTAGCATTAATTGCCCATCATATCGTAACGCATCCCGTATGCATGCCAAATATAATTTCGGAATATCACGCAAGCACGATGCAACGGCAAGAGTTAAAATTAAATTGCGGCCCATACGGGCCGGTTGTGGACAACACAAACATAAAAAATGAAATGTATCATGGGAAAAATGGATTGCTTTATGTTCTTGATCGTGTGTTACTTCCCGACCGAGGTAAATAATTTTTACGCGAAAAATATTCAAAAAAAGTTCTAAGAATCTCTTAATATGAATTACATATATTCCAGCTAAAACAATTTTGGATGTAGCTAAAGAGGAAGGGCTATTTACATTTCTAGAAATAATTAAAGCAGCTGAATTGGAAGAAACTTTGAGACATATGAAACACTTCACAATGTTTGCACCTTCTGAGACAGCAATGTATTGTATGTATTCGAATTTCACTACTGATAAACTCAAACGAACATATTTTTCTTTCTTAACGTAAGTTGCTGTTTTGTAGCCCTGTCAAATCAAAAACTTGTAGAATTGCAAAGAAATCGAAAGACTGCTCGGAACTTTGTTCTTAATCATATAGTTACGGGAACATATTTTACTGATGAAATTAGTAGCAATCAAGTGAGTTAAGTACAAAACTGAGTATTCGAATGTACTCATCGGCAATCTTTCAAAATTATAATTCATTACAGATTGCCAGAACTCTTGAAATAGGAATTCCATTACGCTTCCAAGTTTACCGTGGTAATTTTGGAATTGAAAACGCACTAATTATTAAAGCTGACAGAGAATGCAGCAATGGCGTCTTACATGTTATAAGTCACATTTTACACCCTGCAGAAGAATCTTTAGATTATATTTTGAGAAGGGAAGGCAATTTCAGGTAACTTGCTTCCAAAACACAAGACTTCGAAAGTATGAAAAATATAAGTGGAAAAATTATTACAGCATTTGGTTGGACGCTATGGAAAGAATTAAAAGTATTCAACCACAAATATATGATCAATTTAAGCGCGCAAATTCTTCGTGTACGTACTTCGTTCCCTCGGATGAAGCATTCAGGCAGCTAGGAAATGCCAAACTTCAAAAATTATTGGAAGATAGGAACTATTTAACAAAAGTAATATTATCTCTATGAACAAGTTGATTTAATTATAAATGTTTTCCGTTGTTTAATTTCAGACACTACAAAATCATATCGTGGATAATATGTTACTTGCTGAAAGTTTTATGCCAGACTTGCAGTACACCGTTAGAACTAAAGGGAACCCGATAAATATTATGAGAAAAAATGATAGAATTTTAGTAAGTAATTTTTTAATGATTAATAAACATTAGGAAATGAACGTCTTGCGAGATATAATTTTTAGGTAAACGATGCTACTCTTGTAAAGAGCGACATTTTGAATAAAGCTGGTGTTGCACATGAAATAAATTCAGTCTTATTACCTGATCAGTGTTCTAATGGACATAGAAGAATACACGATGGAACTGTTGCAAGGAAAGTGTGTCTTTGAGATGAATAATTAATTTATATTACTTACAGCACTTAATTACAATAATATGTATCATAATAACATATATTATATATATTATTTATGCACTTATACTATACTATAATATATAATCATTTATAATAATAAAGAATCATTGCAATTAAATGATTTATTGGCACTTATTACTTCAAAATATTTAGCCATTCTTTCATTAACTGTTCAAAAAGTATAGTTTCTTTTTAGTTACATTTATACAGTTGGCTACACTTGTATGAATATTATTTGCAACACGTGCGCTTAATAAATATTTTCCAATATTATTATGTTTGTATTTGTATGGCATTATGACTTTTGATTCGAAAGAAGAACGATATTTCTATTACAATAGTTTAGCCATTTTATTAAAAGCTGTAGAAAATGAACGCACGACAATAGATCTTCGAAACGAAGCTTCAGTTTACGGAACTATAGAGCACGCAGATGCGTAAGTAATTTTCCCACATATCTTATCATTATTGACCTAATATTATATATATAAATATTTCGCCTTTTTTTTTTTGCAGTTACATGAATATTGTAATGAGAGATTGCGTCTTCACAGATCCTAGAGGGCATTCATACAGTTACACCATGTTCTTTGTGCAAGCAAGAAATATTCGTTTCGTTCATATTCCACCAAAAGTAAGTAATTTTAAAATATAGTTATATACTACAATTTTTAATTTTTTGTAATGATATTGTAAATGAATATATATATAAACTTCGTTTTATTGTACTTGTTGAATGTATTTTATAAGTATTAGATATGTTATAATATTAGTTATATGATATTGAAAGTTCTTTTATGGAATTTTCCATTATATGAAAATTTTATATAAAATATTTTGTGGAATAATATGTTAGAAAAAAATTTAATATTTTTTTGTTGCATTTCTGTATATTATTGTTGTGTTGCCTAGGTATTTTTGAATTCATAGGTTGCATATCGGATAATTATAATTTCAAGTACTTACATATTTAGGATAATTCTTCTGTACATATTGTTTACTAACATACAAATGTACACGTATGTACTATGTGTTATGTGCTTGAGTGATCTTAATTATAAAATACACAATTGAACTAATAAGTTATACAATTAAATTGAAATGATAAGAACTTGGTATCCATTTTACAAATCAATAATATCTTGTTTACAAGTACAGAGTATTTTGAGATACAACACTAGTGATAAATTAAAATTTTTCACACATTTTCGAATTCCTACAAATTTGAAATATTTTAATACAACAGCATCAATTACTCCATCAACACAAGTTAACATGAGTGTATTTAAGTTCCTTGATTACGACTGTATTGGATTTGACTTGGACAATACGCTTTTGCATTATAATGTGACAAACATGGTACATTTGATATATGAAACTGTAGCTAATTATTTAGTAACAGAAAGAGGTTATGACTCTAAATATTTATTAAAACCATTAGAAGATAAAGACATAGACTTTATTCAGAAAGGATTATTCTTAGATTTTGAAAGAGGAAATATACTTAAAATAAATGCTAATGGTATAATTCAAAGAGCATGTCATGGAACTAATTTATTAAGTATTGAAAAGATTAAAGAGATATATCCTGAACAGAGATGGGAGGCTACAGATGCTTTTTGTAATGACATGTTATCTACATGGAATGGTCCTTTATCAATGAAAATGAGAAGTTTATTAGATTATTTTGATATCTCCTCATCTCTTATTTTTGCAAGGTTAATAGATGCGTTTGATAAAGAACAAGGAGGCCCTCTTGATGAATATAATATTTGGCCTGATATGCTAGATGGATTGATTGAAATGTTTAACAGAGATCATTTTAAGATAGATAAAGGCCACTTTTTTCCTAGTCTCAGAGAGAATCCTGATAAATATATGTATAAGTGTTCTGCAAGAACTATTACTTGGCTTCAAGAATTGAAAAAACATTGTATTACTTTCCTTATTACGGGATCAAATGTAGATTTTGCTGATTTCACTGCTACTTATGCTCTTGGAGAAGATTGGAAATCTCTATTTGATATTATTATTTGTTATGCAAAAAAACCTGCTTTCTTTACTGAAAAACGTCCATTTTTTAATATTGTAAATAAAGAAGAAGGTAATATCATAGAAAGCAAAGATTTAAAACGAGGTGGTATATATAGCCAAGGTAATTGGAAAGAACTTACTGAATTTCTTGAAAATATATCTGGGAGACAAAATCCTCGTTATTTGTACGTAGGTGATAATCTTTTGCAAGATATTTATGTACCAAATTCATATGTACAATGTGATACAGTGGCTATAATCGAGGAACAAATGTCTGAAGGAATGGTTCACCAAAAATTATCACATCCAGATGAGAAAGTATTAAATTCAACACTTTGGGGCTCATATTTTTGTTTAAAAGATTCTAAAGTTAATATGAACTCATTATGGGGACATGTTATTAAAAAATATTCAAAACTTTGCATACCTGAAATAGATTTAATAGCTCAACAGCCATTAGAAAAATCTTATTTGTGCTTCAACGAAGAAAAATATAATGGATATTATCCTGCAGTACCACTTAGTATATCTGCATTTTAAATTTATAAGTTTATTACATGTGATAGATATGTTTTTTTGTCAATTATTAAACATGAATTTTATAGTCTCATATCACATAATACGTTATAATATGTTTGTAATGTATTCTTAATTTAAGATACGTATTATACCAGCTATCAAGGAACAGTTGCAACGTTTGGTAGGGCACAAGAGAGATTTAACACGTACTAAACGTACATTTAAAACAAAACGTGCTGAGCAAAAGCAACAAGAGGGACTAGCAGCAGTGGAGAAAATTTTAGAAAATAGAAAAAAGAGAGACCAAAGATTGAATGAAAATAAAACTGATTAAAAAATAATAAATAACAGATTGATCATTTTACAATATTTTTATTTACAATTTAATTTTTCATGTACAAAAATAACTTTTATACAAACATGCATTGCACAAAATACAGTATAAGATAGTATAAAAGTGATCATTTTGTACAAATTTTAAGTACAATTATCAGTAATCGACATATAAACAAATATAAATAAAATAAATTTATTTAGTTATATCTATTAACATCTTACTATTTTCAACATACCATTATAGCTTCATATATTTTTATAGTAACATTAACTAATAATTACTATAATCATATAATAAATATTTAATGATTTAACAGGTCTATAGTAAAAGGATTATCTCTTCATAATTATAAAAAAGAAAAATTTATACCTATATACTTATACATATTTTGTTCTAAAATAATAACGCACAAGTATAAATAAAATTTTATGTTTGTAGAATAAGTAATACCTAACTGGATGAAATGTTTGTTATTTTCTTTGAACAGCAATTGCTATTCCCATTCCTCCACCAATACATAAGGCTGCAACACCTTTGTTTCCATCAATTCTTTCTAATGAATGTAATAAAGTTACTAATATTCTAGTACCTATAACAGAATATACTTAGAATATATATATGTGTATGTATATACTATAAATACATATATGTATGTATTTTCAATTATTTTGATTTTATTGTCATACCAGATGCACCAATAGGATGGCCTAAAGCAATAGCTCCACCGTTTATGTTAACTTTATGAAGATCTAAACCAAGAGTTCTTACACAAGCTATTGCTTGCGCTGCAAAAGCTTCATTCAATTCATATAAATCTACTTCTTCTTTTGTCCATTTTGCTTTTTGCAACTAAAATATTAATTTCTTTTATCACATGAATTTGCAAATCATTATTAAACATTCATCTACTAACCACTAACTCAATTGCTGGAATAGGACCTATGCCCATAATTTTTGGATCTACTCCAATCTGAGCTACTGCAACAATTTTAGCCAGTGGAGAAAGTCCTTTCTGTATAGCAATCTCTGCTGACATAAGAACTACTGCTGCTGCTCCGTCATTGATGCCAGAAGAATTACCAGCTGTAACTGTACCTTCAGCCTAACAATGAATCATTGTTTTATGATTAAGTACTTCAATTTATGAAAAAAAAAGAATATGTAATTAATCATACTTTCAAAAAGGCAGGTTTTAATTTTTGAAGGCTTTCAACAGTTGTTCCAGATTTAGGAAATTCATCTTTATTCACAATAATAGATTCTTTCCTAGTAGGCACAGTCACAGGGATGATTTCTTTGGTAAAATGGCCTGCAGTAACTGCAGCCTCTACTTTTTGTTGAGATTTTGCTGCATATTCATCTTGTTCTTCTCTACTTACTTTAAAATTTTTAGCAACATTTTCAGCTACATATACATATATATATTATATATATAATATATATAATTATAAGGCTTAAATTATATAAGCATAATAAAAGAATTTTGATATGAAAGAGATGTATCAATTACAACTCTTATACCTGTTATTCCCATATGAATTCCATGGAATGCATCTGTCAAGCCATCAAACAATATATGATCCATTACATTACAATCTCCTAGTTTTACACCATCTCTAATTTGTAATACATGAGGTGACTGGCTCATACTTTCTTGTCCACCAGCTATAACTATTTGGCTCTCTCCAGCTCTTATAGATACATAACCATTCAAGACTGCTCTAAAAATATATGTTTCTTGCAAATTGTATTCAAAATTATAACATGTAGAAAAATTTAAATATTAAAAAATCTTATTAAAACATTTCTATTACTGTCATATGAACTGATGATATACATGACATGATATACATATGATTAAAAAAGGCTTTGAAAAGCCTGTCCAATAACTACTTCAGATCTTTGAAAAAAAATTACACTTACTTTAAACCTGAGCCACACAGCATATTAATTGTATAAGCAGGTACAGATATAGGAATACCAGCTTTCATTGCTGCTTGTCTTGCTGGATTTTGTCCTTGACCTGCTGTTAATACCTGTAAAAAAAAAGTCTCAAATATATTTTAAAGTCATTACTTTCATTAGATTTCTATTAAATTATATTCAGATTTATATATCTGCATATTATGTACATGTTTTTTTTTGCATTCAGCAAATTAACATTTGAAATAATACTTACATATTCAATAATTCGAATTTATGTTTAATTAATATTAAACATAAATATAACTTCAAATTAACATTTGAAAATGATATTTACATATTAAATAATTCGAATTAGTAATTAAAGATAAGTATAAATAATTTCAGATTACCTGTCAAATAATTTCAGATTACCTGTCCAATAATTACTTCAGAAATATCCACAGGTTTAATATGAGCTCTTGCAAGACTCTCTTTAATGACTACACTTCCTAAATCTGCTCCTTTCAATGATGATAAGGAACCACGAAAAGATCCTAAAAGTAATAAAATATTTTATAAAATGAAAAAATATATATTATTGTGATAGAAAAATAAAACAAAAATGTGTATTACTATAGAAATAAAATATAGAAATAGAAGCAATACAAAAATAATAATTATTATATAAAAGAAATATAAAGGAATCATTAATATAATAATAATGTGTATGATTTGAATGTAACATTTTTATTTTTTTTTTCAATCATAATAACAAAATGTAGGTATTATACTTGGGTATAAATGTACAGATAGATTTATTTTGTTAAAATAGAATTAAATAATTTATCAGAATGGAATCAAATAATTTATTAGAACAAAATAAGATAACAAAACATATCTTTAATGGTATGTTTTTTAACACTTTTTCAATTTTCATGAAAAGTACTTTTTCATTACGTACAGAAAAAATGATCGCTAATTTAAAATTTCATTGTTTACATTATGACATTTAAACTGGGTTAGTAGTGTAGTATTGAATAAACGTTATTATTTTCAATTGTTGTATCATTCAAAATCGCAATGAACAAATTTATACCTATGGGTGTCCTGACTGCCGATATTATTACAACGTCGCTATGGCTCATGTTGAAAATTTTTTAAAAACCACGTCTGAACTTGTGGAAAACCGGACGAAGACTGCCGCCACGAACCGATGTAGCAGAAATAAGTTAGAAATGCTAGCGATACCTATACCAGTAACGGCTTAATGAAAGTATGTCAATCGAAATGTAGGTGCATTCTTTCGTAGATAGTTCCACGTACGTCCGATCGAACGCGTTGTACCAAATTTCATTTACTTTATTTTACGCATTTTATTTTATTGTATTACTTATTTAATTATTCTATTGTATCTCATTTTCTTACTCGAACAAGCATTTTATACGATTAGTGTCGAGGTCTCTGCTGTTTCAGATGTGATACGTTCCTGATCGACGTCATCGGCTGGTTAACATCTAATTTGGCGTACAGGTGGCGCTGAACCACCAATTGTGAGGTCGCGGTGGTGCTCGTTTGTTTTTACCCAGCGTGCATTGTGAACAGTGACTGGTGCTAAGATGGCCGACAACAAGGAGGAGATTTCGGAGCTCGTCGAAAAGCGAGGTATTTATCACAGTTGTTGGATTTATTTTTGATGATCACCGTTTAGAATAGAAGCCCGATTCACGGCGAGCGTGTCGATGATCTCGGACGGACGGTATGATCCGTAGTTGTGATAAAAATCACGCCATCTGCACGCACAGTGTTCAGGAGGAATGATCGCGAAAATCGACGTGAATATACTAACGAATCGGGCCTGTTTCCCATGTCTCTCGCGATCCTAGTGTTATCCACGAATAGTTAACCTAGCTTACGTTGATGGGGACGTGTCTGTCAACGCGACGTCAATTTCGACCAGCTCCAAACATGCCACGATTTGACAGGCTACGAGCACATTCGTTTGCACGACACCCTTCGTACAGTGTGTAGTACATGCGAGCAGACAGAATACCGTGCTCGTTCTCATATGTCCGCCTAAGCGCTATGCTCGTTACTCATTAAGGTCATAACGCCGACGGCCTTGCAATTCGCACCGTCGCTGAAGTAATCTCACTCGAGATTACCGTTATCTCTTACCGCGAATTTATTGCCGGCTGATTCGTCTATAACATCTACCAATGCGCGTAGTGTGCGCGTGTTGCCTATGGGTTAGGTTTCCAATCACGGTACGTCGACCACAGGTAGCGAATTTACCAGCGTTCCCGAAGATACAGCACGTTCAGTACGCAATCGGCCGATGATAAACGCATGATGTCACGATTAATTTTTCTTTGGTATAAATGCCCCGATAGTCGATTGCCACCTGCCACGTTACGTGCTGCCGTTATGTTTTGTGGAATCTGACGTTGTCGGATATGTTTAATTCGTAAATCTCCTCCTCGTTTCCAATTTTGATGAAAAGGCATTGCAAGTACGCGTACATTCACAGAGCTGTAATGTTTGTTTTGAATGTCGGGGAAAATTACTGCATGTACCAGTAACACGTGGTGCGCGGTTTCAACTATGTAAAACAAGAAACCACGTTTATCTTTATTTCTATAACCTAGCGCTGTGTATTTATCAGTCTGGCGCGTGTTTAATATTGTCAATCGTAAATGTACGGGGCATATATATGTAGATCAGCAAACTGAGTCACTTGCTCGATACGTAATTATCGTTCATCGGCAATCGAGTGGCTTTCAATGAGTACCGACTGTTGTTCCTCCGATCATTCAACGGGTAATTGTTTCCCTTTTCCGTGAGAACGATATTCTCAAGCGTGCGGGCAGCAGCAGCATCGAACAGAACAACGATCAACCGGTGCGATTAACATCACGGAATGATCAGTCGAGATTTTTGCTCGTCTTTTGTACATAATACGATTAACTGGTACATGGGTCGTGGTATTATTCGCCTGGTTGCGCGTCGAACCAGTTCCCATGCGTCTTTATTAGAATTTTCTTTCTCCGCGGAGACGTCTCTGCACGGTTGCGCCTTTAATATGGATCAGTCCTGGCGTGCAGACATCTTGGCGAAGAGCAACGATATCGAACAATTCATTTTCGCGTGAATCGTGAGACGTGGCGCTCCCAGCCATCGCGTGACTCCTCTGTTCTTCTTCGTTTCCTCGTTACATTTTTTCCCCGTTTAATATCCGCTTAATCCATTCGGCTACTCCTTTGTCGTTGTTCGTTTCGCTGATATTCCAGAAACATCGTGATGATAACGATCTTTCGTAGACTAACGGATCGATATTTTCGCTCAGTATATTCCACCTGTGTCCCGTTTCAACGAGCTTTCCTAGCGTTCTGTATCTACGTATTTCATTTTAACGTAATGCCTGTATTTCCCTTTGCGTTAAAAAATTTTTCTAGTAAAATCAGACGTGACGTAACATTCAAGTTCGAGACTTTCGATAAAGGATTGGACTTAAATTTCTTTCCTTTTTTGCTCGCTTTATATCTTTGTCGAGCTGCTTTTGTATTGTTGGATCGTGTCGACCAGCTGACGTTAGATCCCTATTTTTCGCTGAATTTTTACCGGAGGTGTTGGTCATTTAATGCCATGAGCGCACATATGTTCGGTTATCGGAAACCAAGTATCGGCTACTCCGCAGATTTTCCAAGCTATTTCCGATGACGTATCACGAAGAATATTCACGTACACGTGGTGGTACCATTTACGCTCGTGTATTGCGTAGGTAGAAAGGTCTACGAACCGCGAGCGAATAATTTGAAAATAAGGTCGCCGGGTTTATGACTCGCTGGTGTTCTCAATTTTACTAACAGCCTAGTTAATAACCACCACGTGAATTATCTTTTTCCGGCTTGTAGGAAAATATTGCAATATTTGTCTTTATCCGTTCGAAACTTTACCGTCACATAAATATCTCAATTTTCCTAATTGAAGGTTTAGGTTAAAGACCACGATAGGACTATTTCTTTTTCTCCTTTTTTTTTTTCGCGAAGAAGCAGCGTTAGATGTTAAGGTTTTGAAAGAAATGAGCCTCTTGTAAATGTGGGCCACTGTGGATACATTTTCGATTGCGTAATATTAAAATGCTATCTCTCTTCAATTCGTTCACGATCTTTAATACTGAACATACTAAGCGGGGTCAAATGACCCCTTTTCAAACTTTATTTTAAATAAAAATACATTTTTAAGTATTTTACTAGAAATCAGAAGTTATGTTGCAAATTATTTCCTTTAATAAATTAAGAATTTTTTTCTAAAAATCAACGTTTATTTATAAGAGGTCAAATGACCCTTTTTTAAAATTTACTTTGAATAAAAATATATGTTTGAGCATTTCATTAGAAATCAGAAGTTATGTTGCAAATTATTTCCTTTAATGAAATCAAGAATTTCTTTCTAAAAATCAACGTTTATTCATAAGGGGCCAAATGACTCTCTTATAAAAATTTATTTTAAATAAAAATACATTTTTAAGTATTTTACTAGAAATTAGCAAAATTTACTTTGAATAAAAATATATGTTTGAGTATTTTATTAGAAATCAGAAGTTATGTTGCACAAATTATTCCTTTGATAAATTAAGAATTTCTTTCTAAAAATCAACGTTTATTCATAAGATCCTTTAATAAATTAAGAATTTCTTTCTAAAAATCAACGTTTATTCATAAGGAGTCATTTGACATCCCTTATGGTAAGATAGGTAAGATATATAAAATGCCGGTACGTTTAGTGTTAATAGCCCGGTCGAGGGAATAATTAATCAACGGACATGGAATGTCTAAGCGTGATCTGATCGATTAAATTAGTCGCTCCTAATCAATCGTAACGAATGCAGAATTACGCGCAATTAAATCATAATCCGAAATTCATAATCCATCGGACTTCAG